CACACACACACAAACCGTACACTCTCAGACAGTAGCCACCCAGTATGTACGTCACAATGACTAAAGGAAAAAGAAATAAATGAATAACATTACTTTGATAAAAAGGGTGATTTGTAGTCCCAGGAAATTTGCTTCATAGATCCCAAAGAGAGAAATGGTTTAAAACATACAAGGGTAAGTCAAAAAGTTTTTCCACAAAATCATAGAAAGACTTATTGAATAAAAATATCAAAATGTGAAGAAGCTATTGTCTTGGCATATCCTCCATCGAGATCTCTACACTTTTGAAGACAATATTTTCTTCTCTGGAAAACTGTGTACTCTTTGATTTATACATCAGAAAGGCAGTTTGGCCATTCTCAACAGACTCAAAGAAGTCTGAAGGAGCAAGATCAGGGCTTTAGGGTTGGTGTGAAAGGTTTCTCAAAGACATTCTCATAGGACAGTCTCCTGCTATTTTTGAAGGAATGTGCAAGTGTGCTGTCACAATGGGAAAAACTCCTGGTTGCAACTTTCCTGGCCTTTTGTCTCACTAATGCAGTCTTCCATTTTCTGAAAACATCTTCATAATAAGCCCCTGGGTTTATCTTGTGTTCTTTGAGAAAATCTACCAAGATTACCCCTTTAGAATCCCCCAAAATGGTCTCCATGACCTTCTGAGTTGAACTCTCTGCCTTGACTTTAACTGGCCTAGCAGTTAAAATCAGTGGACGCCATTGATATGATTGGACCTTTTTTGGAAGTTTTTTAAAGACCCTTATAAGACTGTTGTTGTGAAGTGTCATCGAGTCTGTTCTGATCCATAGCGACCTTATATAGGGTTTCCGAAGAGTGACTTGTGAGCTTGAACCACCAAGTCTACGGTTCAAACCAACTTTGCGCAGTCCAATGCATTAACCCACAGAGCCTATTAAGTGTATTACTGAGAGAACTTGTCTGCAGGCTTCCATTGATCACAGAAACATGTTCAAACACATTTTATTTAGAATAAACCCACGCATGGATGAAGTGGAACCACAATAGCAACACTTCTTGACTCACACTTGTATTGAATAAGAAACCCTGGTAGTGTTATACGGTAAGAACTGGACTCTTAACCACAAAATCAACAGTTCAAACTCACCAGCAACTCCATGCAAGACTGATGAGGCTGTCTGTTCCCATAAAGTTTTGCAGCCTAGAAACCCTATATACATAGGGTTGCTACGAATCCAAATTGACTCGATGGCAGTGGACTTGGTTTATTATCGAATTAGTTCATTGTTTACTTGCCTGTTTTTTCCCTACCAGATTATGAGCCACATGCCTTCATCATCTTTGCATGATTCATTCAACAACTATTTGTTAAGTTCATATGAGTACCTAGCACAGCACGTGGTACTAACTTCATTAACCCTTGGTAGAGATGCTTTTTAAGTGTGAATTTTGATTTCATGTACTGTAAGTCTCAGCAGAAGAAAGACTATTTCCTTGTTGAGCGAGGTATCATTTTCTATGAGGGAACACCAGGAGAGATATTCCTTGTTGTCACAAACTGAATTATTATTTGGAGAAGGTGACATTTTGAGAAGAGAGGAGAAATGCAGAACATTCTCAATAATTTACAAAGGATTCCTGAACTGAATTATAAGTGAGACAAGCCAAACTGCTGGAATAAGTGCCAGTTTACTAAGCAAGCGAAACCAATAACAAACAAAACCCAGCCATAACTTTAGTCAGCATGATTTCAAGCAGATGGCTTTTCTAATTCTGATAATTTACTGACCAAATCGATAAAACATTATTATGCATACTGACTATCTTTTCTAACAATCAGCTACAGAAAACTCTGAAATGATTTTTTAAAATGGGAGAAACATTTTCTGCCAATGTAATAAATACTCGATAAATTTTACCTGGCTTACATGGAAAGAAAGCACTAGCCTACCTAATTGTGATTTCAAGAAAAGCTTTTATAATCAGTGTTAAAAGGGAATGAGTAAAATTACATCTTAGCATACATATATTTTATAGTGTACCAGCATTGTGCTCATTTGTGGTGTCCGTGCTTAGAGCACCTTTGTATGAATTTTGCTCCAGAGGTTTCCTTCATTATTTTAATATTTACTAATATTTGTGGTAAGGAGCTCTGGTAGCGTAGTGGTTACGAATCGGGCTGTGAACCTTAAGGTCAGCGGTTCGAAACTACCAGCCGCTCCGCGGGAGAAAGATGAGGCTTTCTACTCCCGTAAAGATTTACACCCTCGGAAACCCTGTACAGGGTCGCTATGGGTTGGACCCGACTCGATGGCACTTAACAACAACAATATTTGTGGTAGCTAAATCAGAATCTGTGTTTTATCCAAACACATTACCTTTAACTTATATTCATTTACTTAGAAATCTAAGTATCACAAAATATATGAAAATGTGTAAAAAGAAGTGTTGGCTGTAAAAGAAAATATATTGTAAATGACTAGAAGTTAAAGGTAATGGGTGCGAACAAAACAAAGATTTCTTTTTGTTTGTTTGTTTAAAGAATAAAAAGATTTTTTTGTTTTGTTTTAAGAATAAAATGGAAACTGCTAGTTGTTATTGTTGTTGTTGTTGTTAGGTGCCATCGAGTCAGTACTGACTCATAGCGACCTTACGCACAGCAGAACGGAACACTGCCCAATCCTGGGCCAACCTCACTGCTGTTGCCATGCTTGACTCCATCGATGCTGCCACTTGGCCAATCCATCTCATTGGGGGTCTTCTTCTTTTTCTCTGACCCTCCACCTTACCATGCTTATAATAATGGGTGGTATAAATAATGAATTTATTTATAATTTCTGCATATACCATTAGGTAATAACTTCTAGACAAAATAGACTAGTAACTAATTATACACAGTAATATTAGATATTTATAACAGAATATCAAGCATATCTCTACACCTTCCTAAAATGAGAAATGTTGACATATTCTAAAAATTATTCAATATATAATTCCAGTTCTAAAGAATGGTATATAACATGAGAACAATTTTACCAAGAAATTCTATTAGAGTTTATTATCTAATCACTATGTTAATAAATCCTAGCTGCAAACTTACACTACAAAGAAAATGTCTCTAAGTTATTTTATTTTAAAGATTGAGAAAGAGCCATGGTAAATCCATGAGCCAAGAAAGAAATTCGAGAGTAATGGTGAACACTTTAGGAGAATTTTTGTGCTATAAGAAATCATTCATAATAGTGATTTTTATTACACCTGACATCAACAAAATAATGTTACTACCTAGGACTTGAAAATATTTTTGTAATTGTGCTTTCTCCTCTATTAGAAAGCACCTGTGTAGATACTACAGCCAGTGTTACAATGCTTGGTCCATTGTAGGTACCTAAAAGGTAGCTGAACAAATGAGGGAGGGACGTTATGCCTTACAGGGAAGGAGTTAGAAGTGAATGAACACTTATTTACTATGGGGCATACAAAAGGTTCGGAGTTCTGGTGTGGCGCTGTGGGTTAATGTGCCAGACTGCAAAGCCATTTGAACTGCAAGGTTGGAGGTGCAAGCTCACCAGCCGCTCCTCGGAAACCCTATACAGGGTCGCTTTGGGTCGGAACAGACTCAATGGCATTTAACAACAACATACAAAAGGTTCAGTAGCTTCCCAGTACCAAGACTATGTAATCTTGAGCAAGGAGTCACTTGGTGGCACAAATCATTAAGAGCTTGGCTTCGAATTAAAAAACTGGAGGCTTGAATCCACTCAGAGACTCCTTGAAAGAAAAGCCCAGCAACTACTTCTAAACAATCACAATCTTGAAAACCCTACGGAGCACAGTTCTATTCTGAATCATATGGACTTGCAGTGAAGGACAACTAGGTATCTGGAGCAAGTCACTTAAGAGAGCTGAGTTAGATGTATTTCTGGATTCGTTTAGCCCTTTGGACCTGTGTTTTCGTGGTACCTACATTCCATGGAGATACCATGAGTATAAGAAATGAGCAAAAATAGCATGGGGCATCAGAACATGGCGGGTTTTATATTCTTAATTCAAACTGCCCTTCAAATCCAGAGGAATTTCATCTATTCCCAGGTTTAAACAGCTTTAAAAAAAATCATCTAATAGCCTAGATGGTCTGTCAGTATCTTCAATATTGATAGTCGCAGGAACCTACTTTGCAGGCTTCATATCAGATATGACTGACAAGAGTAAATTGAAGGCATCTCAAGAATATTTCCGTTTGAGTCAAAAGAACAATATATTCAAGAATATTCTTATAAATGAAAATTAAAACTCACATCAAATAATGTGCTGGGGTTTTAGTCTGTAAGCCTTTTTAAATTGCTCCCTTTTAGTAAAACTGCCATTTTACTGTGGCTGATATTTTAATCCAAGCTGTGCTTCGCAGAATGATGGTTGTCAACTTAATGCATATGCATTAACCTCATACAATTGACGTACCTGGTGGCTCAAGCAGTATAGAATGTCATGATTTCTCAGGAAAACCATCTTCACTAGGGGGCTTCAAAAAGTTCACAGAAAAATGCCATTTCTCCCCCAAACTTTTTAAAGCCCCCTTGTATTTTCAAACAGATTTATACTTCTAAGGGTATATAGATTGAGATTTTTTTTCTTTTTAATTTCCTATCAGGAAAACAAAACAAAAGCCAGTGACAGGCTAACCAAGAGGGTAGCTAAATGGAGGGATGGGGACTGGATAAGTTAAAAAAATGTGACAAATACATCTGCTGTAATTTGTAAGGCAACATCCTGTCAGCAAGTATTACCTATTTACGTTTTATTTACAAGTTTAGAAGCTGCCACTGCATGCTATACAAAATGCTTAACACACTGAAAACTGATAATATGATAAAGCTTTAACCAATTTACTTGAAAATATAATAAGAGATGTCTCTCAATTTGTATATAACGCAGCAACGACACACTGCTTCTGCATGAGAAAGGAGAATGGAGAAAGGTTCATGAAACTTTAATACCGGTTTAAAACTAATGAATATATTTACCTGCTGCAAAAAGCATGACAGCAACAGGTCTGTAGAAGCGCCTTCGAGAGCCCACGCAGATAGAAATCAAACCCACCAGGAATGCAATCAGAATGATGGCGGCACCGCCCAAGAGTAAAGCCAGAGTAGCAATCTGCCAATCTGGAAAGACAAAAAGAAAGTCATTGCTTTTAGGGCAGAGTAAGTCATTCAAGAACCAATAGAACTAGACTGTATTGCATGCTAAGCAGCCTCTGGAACTGAAGATGTTTTGTAACAGAAATTATTCTAACTGTTCTTATTCAGAAAATGATCCTATGCTAAAATCAGTAGAGAGGGAGTTGTTAGGGGTCAGGGACTTACCATGCTTTTTTCCCCCAAAGACTCTTTTTAAACATTCATGGTAAATCTGGTGCCCTCTCCATGACCCATTTTCATTATTACATAACCTTTTATAGTGCTATAGGATAGGCACTGGACCGCAAGATCAGATTAAACTACAAGGTCGGTGGTTCAATCTCCTCAGCTGCTCCTTGGAAACCCTCTACAGAGTAGCTATGACTAGGAAACAAAGGGATGGCACTTAACAACATCAAAGCCAATACAAAGTTCACAAATCTCAAGTGCAAAACAGAAAGCGGTTCATGAGTTTTTACATTGATTTATACATCCATGTAACCACCACCTAGAGTAAGATATAGACAATTTTTAGCATCCAGAAGGTAACCTTGTGCCCTTTCCTAGACAATAAGCACCCTCCGCATCCAGGCTGCTGACTGACCTCTATCACCACAGATGAGTCTTTCCTGTTCTTGAACTTTATATAAATGGAGTCATCCTGTATGTACTCTTCTGTGTCTGGCTTTTAAGTCTGTGATATTTATTTTGTCTGACTTTTATGTCTGTCATATTTATCTATGTTGTCGCATGAAACAGCAGCAGTGCACTCTTTTTTATTGCTGTCCTTTCTTGGAAAGCTTTCCATAAAAATCCCTGGTTCTTAACATTTTTTCCTCCCCTTATTAGTTTCCCCAACAAATTACCATCTGGAGGTTTGTTGGCCTTTGTTTCCATCTTCTTTGATTTAATTCTAGTCTTAATGTGTCCGGGTGTGGCTCTGTGGGATAAAGCACTGGACTGCAAGGTCGGTTTGAGCCGTTAAGGTCAGTGGGTCCACCTCACCAGTTGCTCCCCAGAAACCCCATACAGGGTGGCTAAAACCCCATACAGGGTGGCTATGAGTCGGAATTGACTAGATGGCATTTCACAACAATAATAATGTGTCTCTACCACTCTGGAAGGAGCTCTGGTAGCGTAGTGGTTACGAATCGGGCTATGAACCGCAAGGTCAGCAGTTCGAAACTACCAGCTGCTCCACGGGAGAAAGATGAGGCTTTCTGCTCTCGTAAAGATTTACAGCCTTGGAAACCCTGTACAGGGTCGCTATGGGTCGGAACCGACTCGACGGCATTTAACAACAACAACCACTCTGGAGGAATACCTGAATGGCGCAAATGATTAATCACTAGACTACTACCAGAAAGATATTGACAGTTCGAACCCACCCAGCGGCACCTCAGAAAAAAGGCTTGTTAATCTGCTTCTGGAAGGTCACAGTCTTGAAAATTCTAAGGAATGCAGCTCTACTCTAGAGCACAAATTGTTGTTTTAAGTGCTGTCCGGTCAGTTCCGACTCATAGCAAACTTGTGTAGGGTTTCCTAGGAGCAGTTGGTGGGTTTGAACCGCTGACCTTTTGGTTAGCAGTCCAGTGCTTATCTGACAGCACCACCTCCACTACCACCCGGGGATAGTGTCTGATATTAAGGATTGATGGCAATTTTGGCTGGACTCTAAATGACTGCTTAGTCCCCTTCTTCATTCATACCCAGTAAGCACATATTAGACTCCTGGTGTGGTGCTGTAGGATCAACACTGGACTGCGAATCACAAGGTTGGCAGTTCAAACCCACCAGCAGCTCCTGGGACACCCTATAAAGGGTCTTTATGAGTCAGAACTGACTTGACAACACTTAACAACAAAAGCACATACGGATGACTTACCACTGATTTTTTAGGTGAATTATGCTAGAACTATTTTACTTAATTTCACCATTTCTGTGTTATATGTGTGAGTGTGTTAATATATACGTGGATGTGTATTTTTGAAAAATATGGTATATGCATACCAGCATACACAAATACTTAAAAAGCTTCTCCCATGCTTGTTTATTAAGTGCCATCAAGTTAGTTCCTACTCACCCTGACTCTCTATATGGTTTCTGAAGAGCAGCTGGTGGGTTTGAACTGCTGACCTTGAGGTTGGAAGTCCAGTGCTTAACCTACAGTGCCACACATACACTTGGTGGGGTGGTTGTGTGCCTTAGAGTCAGTGCCGAACTCATACCAACATTGTATAGAGTTTCTGAGGTTGCAAATCTTTCCGAGAGCAGAAGTCTCATCCTCTGTGGAGCAGCTAGAAGATTCGAACTGCTGCACTATACTGCGAGTGCTCTTTGTTGTTGTTATTAAGTGTCTTCGAGTCAGTTTGACTCACAGTGACCCTGTATAGGGTTTCTGAGGAACAGCTGGTGGGTTTGAACTGCTGACCTTTTGGTTAGCCGTCCCGTGCAGCGCCACACCAGGACTCATAGATCCCAATATATTTGTCACTCCTTATAGAGATCTATAAGGAGCTCTGGTAGCGTAGTGGTTACGAATCGGACTGCGAACTTTAAGGTCAGCGGTTCGAAACTATCAGCCGCTCCGCGGGAGAAAGATGAGGCTTTCTACTCCCGTAAAGATTTACACCCTCGGAAACCCTGTACAGGGTCGCTATGGGTCGGAACCGACTCGACGGCACTTAACAACAACAACAACAACATAGAGATCTATAAGTTGGCTGGGAAACTGATAAATCGTTCATTCCCTAAGAAGGGTAGATGGCTCTCTTGGATCTATGGAATCACTATGTAAGTTAGGAAGTACCACATATTGGGGAAAGCAGTACTCTTTAGAAGTCCCAGACTGCCTCTTCTGGCTCTCAATTTAATGTATGTACAAGAAATAAAAGATTTTAAAATGTGGTTACACTGTAATGTATCCAAAATCAAGAACTAGTACGATTGCGATTCTGCAGTCTGAAACTATCCCTGTACTAGGGTTTCAATGTATAGTCTTAGCCTCCGCAGGACAAGGAGTAAATGAAGGAATTTATGATGCCCTAGAATTTCTTCTTTTATTTATTCTTGCACATTCCTGTTCAGCCAACCCTCTGCCACATCCTCTCCCTCTGAGAAACTCTGGAAGTAAATTGGCACTGAAGTAGACCTAGCAGTGTACTCAGGAAACAAAAAAATAATATTAAAAAAAACTAAACAAAACAAAAGGGAAAAGGAAAATAGAACAATTTCATGTTTCTTAAAATACCAAGATGAATCACAACAAAATGGTGAGTATTTTTAATGCCACTTATTTGTAACAAAGCCATATAACTTCAAACAAAGTATATCTAGCTTTCAACTAGAAGTTAAAAGGCTAGCCATACTATGGCTTTTATATTCCGTAACAGCATGTAGCTTTGAATTAAAAAGCCAAAGAATAATCGCTACATTTGGAATTCTCTAAATTTCTTTGAAAAAGCTTATATATAGGATCATTATGTTGTACTTCTACATAATAGAAATCCTCCTGACAACTTGTGTGTAAATTGAAATTTCTGAAGAATAAATCAAATTTTTATTACATCAAAGTGTTTGGTGAACAAAGAAAAGAATACAATCAATCCATACATCTATCCATCAAATTCCTGGAGCGTTTAAGAGAGCCTATACTGAATATTTCTTAGTTGGATTGTTATTTTAATAAAATGATAATTACATTTAGCAATTTCCCCCAAATTATTTTATATAAATAAGAATTTTTAAAGTACTGGCTTTGTTTAAATCAAGATGTTCACACATTTACAAACATCTTAAAATAAAACAAAAAAATATACATTGTTTCCTTTTCCGGCTAAGCTTTTTCACGTAGCTCAATATGAACTGAATACCACACATTTGACTGATTTCATTTTCAATCTAAGATAAAAAGGCATTAATGTTGATCCATTTAGCTGAAACACACATGCTTATTGGTGGTTTGTAAAAATGATCAGGATAGAAAAAAACTAAGTGAACATTTCTTGTAAATATTTTCAGCTTTGTAGGCCACCGTTTCTATTACAATTACTAACCTCTGCTGCTCTAGCATGAAACTGACCATAGACAATGTGTAAATGATTTTGTGCGGCTGATTTTGAACCACTGGCTGCAGTCTTCGGAACCCAGAGCCTATCACGCAGTGAACTCTGTAGCCGCCAGTTCCATAACCTCAGGTTCAACCAATGAGACAGAAAACAGAAAGGGGTGGAGGGAGCAAGTAAGCAGTGGAAGCAATACTCAAAATTGAAGAGGAAGCATAATGTGCTATTTACATAGCATTTGTTTTGTATTAGGTATTATAATTTAGAGATGAGTTAAAGCATACTGGAAGGCTTGTGTAGGTCATATGCAAATACTACGCCGTCTTATATAAAGAACTTGAGCATCTGTCACTTTGCTATTTGTGAGGGTCTTGGACCAATGGATACTGAGGGATGACTGTGTACCATTTCCAAATGTTTAACTGTCTTCTAGGTAAAGGCCTTTCAAACCATGACAATTAGATAATGAACTTAATTTGATAAATGAGTCATAAAGGGGTACAAAGCGAAGCTAATCCAACATAGCAACAAAAGACTGCAAAAAAAAATCCTAACCTCACATGATGCTGAATTCCCTTAAAGTTACAGAAGTGTACTTCATATGGAAAACCAATAAAATCCAATAATGGAAGCCACCAGGAAATAAAAGTAATTAAGAGGGACTGAAATTTAATTAGGAAGGAAACTTTGTACAACACAGGAAATAATTCTAAAAAGTAGGTGTGTACAACCTGTTCAGGACTATCTTCTAAATGTCTCATATTTATTATCAGCACTGAATTTGTGACCAATGAGAAATGTCACCATGGAGAAAAAGTCAAAAGGAAGGATCAGCAGCACCACCAACTGCGGCCCTGCCTGTCCCCATGGATATGCTCAAACTGAAAAACACATCCCCCACTCCCCCACCCCCAACCTGCC